GAATAAAGTTGTAATTTTACGACATTAAAATCGTAATATTACGAGATTAAAGTCATAATATTACGAGATTAAAGTCGTATAAAAATAGTCATAATATGAGAATAAAGTTGTAATTTTACGACATTAAAATCATAATATTACGAGATTAAAGTCATAATATTACGAGATTAAAGTCGTATAAAAATAGTCGTAATATTACGAGAATAAAGTTGTAATAATACGAGATTAAAGTCACAATATTCCAACATTAAAGTTGTATCAGTCATAATATTACGAAAAAAAAATCATAATATTCTAGCCTTTACACAAAAAAACAAGCAGTTATCACTGCATTAATATGAGAAATGTTGAGCAAATTGTTAAGCTGTTCTTTAGTATTGCTTAAAACAAATAGCTAATCTTTTAGCACATTAGCATCAAATTATCAGTAGCAGGACTTGGAAATTGTGCAAACGACGATATGATAAACTGAATCTGTATTGTAATTAACAGATGCATTGACAGATTTAGTCGTTACGTAGTTAATTTGGATGAAAAAATATTAATCTAACAGTGACTCAAGTCATCGTGGACTACTTCATAAACAGACATGACTGTCCACAGAAGGTGTGGGGAAAATAAGGAGGAAATGAGGAATGGAAAATGGACGTCATGTAAGATTATGACTTTTTTTTTCACGTAATATTACGGCTTTAATCTCGTAATATTATGACTTTATTCTCATAAAATTATGACTTTAATCTCCTAATAAAAATTAAACAAATCTCATGTGACCCTAATACTTTGTCGTAATGATCCAATTCAAGTGTTTAATATTTGCTCCTTTTTTTTGTCTCTTCTGTAACTTTCACCTTCAGTGCTCAAGTGTGAGTACTGCAAGAAGTTTGCTCCTGCCTCCCAGTTCAGAGGCACCAAACGGTTCTGCTCCATGACCTGTGCCAAGAGGTACTTCACATGCATGAAATCTGTGATTTATGATGAATGACTCTGCTCCAAGTTGCTGAAAGCCCGGCATGTTTCACAAAGCTGCTGATGCTAGTTGACCCGTTTTCTGCAACCTGCAACAACAAAACAATCCACAGCATTAATTATTGGACATATTTAGACTGAATAATTAAACATCATCAGATTCTTACAGTGAAAACTCCCGACAYTAAGAATCCAGTCTGCTGCTGCAGGAACGGGTCTGGCTGAGTGACATGCCTACTGTTTTCAGCTCTTTTATGTCGTAGCATGAGCTTTTTTGTGTTTATAATTTCTGTTTATGTTGGAAAAACTCTTCCTGCTAAAAAGAAATGCTTGTAAAGTTTTAACTTTTCAGTACAGTTTCTGAGTTTTTCCTCTGTTAAATTTGCTCATTGTTCTCTGCATTGTAATTATTGCATCATGTTTTACTATGTAAACAATGCATTGTTTGCATTGTTTTGAACAGTATGTTAATGTGTGTGTGTGTTTTTTTTACATTGGTTTATGCTTCTGCTTTGTATTTGTCTCTTTGCCCACTGACTGTGCGTATCTTACCTGCCAGGTGTGGCGCAAAGAGACAACAAACTGTGTGTTGCTCGTCCTGCCTTCAGTACCGTATATGTCACTCTTTGTGTACGATACAGTATGTATTGGTTCCCCAGGTACAACGTCAGCTTCAGGCAGCATTTCTCCATGAGGCAAAGTCACAGCCAGCGTCGGGACCGGGATCGAGACCAGGATCAGGATCAGGATCACTTCTCAAACTCGGATGAGGAAGGAGGAATTGCCAGAAGGAGGGTTCCCCGCAGGACCAGCTCAGAAATAGCCAGTGCAAAGATTGCAGGACGACCCATACCTGCCAAGGTGAGCACAGAATCCCAAACATCTGTTTTTCTTAAAGTATTTAAAAACTTGTCGAGCAGCTTTGATACTTTTATAGATTTTAGCTACATCAACAAATGATTGTTATACAGTGGAGGTCAGTGTGTTCTTACACTCAGCTGTTGAAAGAGTTTAAAAAGTCTTATCAGCTAATATTTTCTGTGTTGACGGCACGGAAAGAAACTAAACTTTAAGCCTTGACGTTAATGTAGCTGCTACTATAACTTCGACTGATTTTTTTGTTTTATTTTATTTTATTTTTGGAGATTGTTGAATTAGGAAACAGACACAAAATGTTTAAAAAAYRTTTATTTTTTTGTTTATTCTGACACTCCAGTTTAACAAAGTGGCCAAGCCCTGTTTGTGTTGAGTTGTTGGTTTTTAAAGGCCCTTCCACSTTATAATTCTTAAGACAGCTTACATCTTGTGTTTTTTTTCTACAAATAAATTACTCATATAGTTTACATAAACAATCTAATTTTTAGTATGTATACTCCCAAATGAGACTTCACTTAGCTTTTTTTAATTCCATCATCAGTTTTAGACAAAATGTTCACAAGTTGTCTAAAACGTGTGTCTGAGTCTTTATAATGCTTCTGGTGCCCCCTGGTGGCTGCAATTAAAACACTAAATTACTTTAACTTTCGATTAGTCGTCTTTGTAAAATAATGTAAGATCCTRAGCTAGATAGACCTTTTATAAAATAATTAAAAATGACCAAATTTAATATTTGGATTCAGTTTTCTACAGTATTGTTTATTTCTGAAAGTCTTCTCAGACAGATTATAATATTAATAATAAATTAAGCGACTGATGATTTATTGTTCTGCTTCCCCCCTCCCTCAGWGCCGTTCAGAGTCCAGCCACTCAGACGAGGAGTCCAGCGTGGAGGAGGAGGAAGACGACGCCGTGTCTCTTTCTGCCGCCTCTTCGGCGTCTTGCCACCAGCCGCCTCCTCCGGTTGAAACGGAGAACTCCGCCCCCAGCTGCCTTCCCACCAGCCCCTCCCAGTGGAGCGTGGAGGAGGTGTCGCAGTTTATTTCTTCACTACAAGGTTAGAGGATTTGACTTTTTCATTTGTTTTTATTTGTCTTATCAAAACTACAAAACATTTTGCTCTTTTCACACGATCTTATTTCGTTTTTTTTTTTTTGTCCTCCGTTTCCTGCCAGGCTGCGAGGAGCTCGCCTCCCAGTTCCTGTCGCAGGAA